GTAGCCAAAAAATGTTTTCAGGAACTTTTTTTTTTTTTTTTTTTTTTTGTTTAAGCTGTTTGAAAGACACACAGAAAAAAAGAGAGGAAACGAAACTGCCCAAACACAATATTGTTTCCTGTTTCTTAGACGACAAAAGTCCACCCTTCTTTTTCACATCTCGTTCGTCCAATATTTAAAACAGGGAAATTTAATGTTAAATGACGAAAGAACGCAGTCATTAAATATTATAATTAACTTTGAGTAAAAAAGTCCAGACAGGCTCACAAAAAAATTACGGTGCGTGCACTTCAATGCGGAACACTCGAGTATCCAATGACTGAAAACTGCGGAAAAGTGCCAGAGAATAGAGAAGTTTAGAATACGATTAAACACAAAAACTGCAATGCGCACTGGGGCAATGAGCTAGTGAATCGTCACGCTCATTGTTCCTGCGCGGATCACATATTTCACAAATTATCGTTTTATAGTCATGTTTTAAATTATTTCCGTTCTTCGTTGTCGTTTTACGAGAAAGTGGAAGAGAAAAATACCAGTTTCTATCATTGTGTGGGGTCTAAACATTTAGTGGAAGCCGCCGTCGGTGGATAGAAAGAAGCGAGAGTACCCTTTCGGTGCTGATTTGCATATTCCGGTGAATGTTCAAAAGCGCAGCCCCTATTAGCGGCGAGATGTTTTAGTGGCGCCCTCGTATGGTTTCCTCTCGTGACTTCATTACCTTACGAACAACAAGTTCGACGGTGTTTAGAATTAGCATGGTGGAAGCTTGAGATCATTGCGCTCTTAAACCAACACTGCCAACCCCGTCAAAATTGAAGTTCGTGCATTGCTCTTATTTCTTTCAATGAGAAAACCTTTGCTGACGTCATAGTGACCATTCGGCCAATCGTGGAAGGCCGATCACAGCGACGCTTTTGATCGCGCACGTCGCCAATGCTGCGTTCACCATTAAGCTCAGACTAGAAGCTCCGCTTTAAGCGCGAGCTTTCTGCCCTTCCAAAAACAAGCGTGATCGCGCAGGCACGCTCAACCAATGCACTGCCGACGCCAGCGAGCTCGCGTTGAAGGCGAAGCGTCTGGTCTCAGCTTAGAACGGAGTAGCAAGCGCCTCTGGGACGTTGAAGCCCTCAGGTGCTTCAACGTTCCAGTCTTCGGAGTCTCGAAAGCAAATGTTCCGCTTCAGCGCTGCTAACGAGCATGGTGGCCAGGATTTGCAGCAGGCGGGTTACATTAGGATACAAGGCCTCTGGGCAAATGCAAGTTGCCTGTACCGCTGAGACGCGCTAAGCGGTGCGGTCCCTCCACATCTGTGTCAAATCCAGTACTTCCCCAGGAAGTTCATCTAACAAAACGAATGCTCCGCACAGGCTGGAGATTGGCGACCGGCGTCGTTGGCCACAACATCGCTGTCGCCTAGGGCGGACAATGCTGCCTGGCGTGAGTCTGTTGGTTCTGTTGGAGACGTTGATGACACGCTTGAAGTTATAGGTCAATAATCATTCTTAAAAAAAAAAGTCAAGAACTGCTTGGCTCTTGAACTCATTTTTGAAAGTCTATATACGTAGAGGAAGTTCCACGACTCACGTGCTGAACGCAAGCATGTAAACATTACCCACTTCAGCGATTAAAGAGGTCAACTAGGTACGCTTTGAAACCAAATGATTATGAGCATTCCAAAGTTGCTTCAACAGTGCATATGCTGTCGCTTTTCTCTCTTGCTCCTTTTCTTTTTTTTGAATAATGGGGATGTTTTTGAGTGTGTTTTTTGCATTTTTGTTTGTGTAATATTGAAGCTAAATAAGTAGAGGCGAGTAAACCCTAAAAAAAGACAAAACAAAAAAACAAAAAAAAACAAAAAAAAAAACGCTAAGCTGTTAGTTATTTTGTCGTCCGGTTTTCTCCTCATTGTAGGGTTCGTAAAGTCAGAGTATTGCTATTTTGGAGTTTTGTTGCGCTGCCCTGCTTGTTGCGCTGCTCGTCGAGTCCTCAACACTCAAAGGGTAGGGGAACTTTAGTTAAGCCGCCTGCATTCCCCGAGGCGAGGCCAGCGTCCTTCGAGGTCAGGATTTCGCGGCTTTTGTGACGTCGGGAACAAAGCCATTCGCACCTGCGAGCCTGAAGAAAGGCTTTGGTTACTAACATGGCCAAGTTTGGAGAGAGCTGTTCGAAGAGCCGGAGCCGGAGATGTATTTTTCCCACAGTCCACGGACAACGTCGTCTTCGTTTTGCTTCGGTATGTTGTGGGCACAGCCCCTCGCCGTAGTGGATTGTCGAAACGAAACACACACAAAAAAATTATACTGACATTGGAAAGGGGGAAGGGGTAAAGAGGACAACCATGAAATTTCGGGAATGTTCCGACCCTTGAACCCCCCCCCCCCCCACCCCGGTCCCCTGGCTACACCACTGGTATGCAAATATGTTCGTGTTTTCCAAATAAAATTCAGTTGGCAGTAGCGCTTTTAGTTTGCACTACTACTTCTTTCAGCTCGGTTGTTTGTTTTTCTTGCGCTTCTAAGTATAGGCTTGTTGCAGCTGACTTCACTTCCGGCTAAACTGTAGGTCAAAACCAACACTGTCGTCTACTATCAGTGCCTTGGCGACATGTTGGAGGCAAAAAATGTTCTTCACCTGACATGAAGTGCACTCCGTAAACCCGTAGTTAGTGTACGAAGCTTTTCTGTCAAGATCATTGAGTCAACTATAATCATCTAAAGCGAAAAGTCCCATGCGTTTGGCCGCGACGGGAGGGCGATGCATAGACGCGGACATCGGCGGCCAAATTTGGCGGTTCCTATGAGCTCATATCGCTGGCGACGCATATGCACCAAGGAGCAGCCAAAAATCACCTGTAAATTGTGCACCTTTTTTTGTTTTTGTTTTGCAGAAAAACATTTGAATTGCGTGTTGACAAAATTAAATAAAGGTAGGCTGTACCAACTCACTTATTAAAACATCCCTGCCCATCTTCTCCCCCCCCCCCCAAAAAAAAAAAGCAAAAAAAAAAAGAAGCAAGTAGAGAAAAAAAAATCCTTCCCCGGGAAAAGAAAAAACAAAAAAAAGAAATCTGCGCCGAGCAGCGTTGAACCTGCGTCGACCCCATAGCGGCGCCATCTGTTGACAGCCCGTGATACCGCGAGGAGAAACTAACTCTCGTTACAGTTACTCTCGAGTTCGAGTGAGGGTTAAGGGAGAGTATCATCGAAAGAAGCGGTGGCGAAAGAGTAACTTCGATGAAGAGAGAGTTAAAGTAGAGTAAGTTAGGGCACTTACTCTTCTTTGACACCTTTTTTTTTTAGAGTGTTGAATGCGCATTTTATTTTCTCCTTTCATTTGTATAGATGGTAGCAATTGCATGTTCAAATGGTTTCGCTCAAATATGTATCACCAACTAGCTCAACGTTTCCTCGTCGTGAAAGTGGGTATACTTTATCGCAAAGGCCCTCTAGCCATTGCGAAGAAAATAAAAATAAACATTGCCTTGAATGGAACAGACACGCTCACTACTGACAAGATGGCAGACCGTCAATATAGTATCCACAGAAAGATGTCGTCTTCAGAAAGTAGGAAAGATATCGTGTCTGTGCTCCGTCCAAATTGCTCATTTTTTCGTGTTTACAATTGAACATTAGGAACACGCTCGCTTTTTAATTAGGTGTCTACAGCCCATGTTTTTTTTATGATCGTACGTTACCATGTAAAGAATATACCCATGTCTGGTATCTGAAAGGTACCGCGAAATGACTTTTGTGCTAAAAGATTTTATATTGGGATTTTACTAATCGAACATCGCTACTGAGCCGAAGAAAGAGGGTAGAAAACTAAAAGCCTTCTTTTAGGTACGAAAGTTTTGAAATTTTGCGAGCACTTACGTACATACCTCTTTTCCTTCGAGAGCTCTCCGCATTTTTATTCTGATAGATTCGCGGTACCCAAATCACGTCAGCCGACCCCAGCTCACATAATGGACACGAGCATAGCGACGCTCGAACGTATGCGCTCGTCAACAATCAATCCATAACAGAATATTCGGACTCACTTTGGTGTCCAATGAGTGCCGTGACGACCCTCATAATTACTTTCGAATGACAAGTTTCATGGTGTGTTTAAAAAAAAACATGGTGGAAGCTTGAAGTGCTCGCACCGGTTCCCAAATTTAATACGTCACGACCACGTGATATCTTTATTACGCTTTTTTAAATCAAAACTAAAAAGGAAAAAAAAATTACAAAATGCATGGCCCATTTAAGATGCAATTAGTTTGAAGGGTTAGTGATTCAAATAATTTTATTATTTTCATCCAAGTGGCAAAGCGTGCTTCGAAGACACAGGACGTGTATCATAAGTCGACTCACACATGTAGAGCATAGTTGCTTTGTACGACAATATTTTTGACCATGCTGTTAAATAATAGGTTTAACCGATTCCAGTGTACACGAGTATAGAACATTTTTGCAAACTGCTGATAAGTGATGTCGTACATTCTGCGGCAATAAACTTTTTTTTTTCTTGGAAAGTGGATTTCGGAGATGTAAGCAACTAGTGCTCAGCGCTGTCAGGCTCAAGATGTACCAAAAGCGCGGGACAAACTATAGGCTTCTACGATGAATAATATTACGCACTACTGCATGGTATGCAGCGACAAGAATGTTTCCATCCCGGTGTAACTTTATAAAAATCGTAGTTGAAAGACAGGGTAACACTCATTGGTGGACAGCTCACTTTAAGGTTTTCCAGACAATTCTAAGTATTTCGATATGACCATGTACGAAAACCTAGCCTTTTATATAAGCTTGAACAAAAAAAAAGTGTTTCTTCTCTTACATGAATATTGAACCATGCAGTACACGTTCCAAAAATTAGATTTTTATTCTTTGTTTTACGTAAAACTAGCTTGCCATATTATTTGACCAGATAACGGAAATGATATTATCCGTATTGTTTTTTTATTGTGCCGAGGCTTGAAATAAAAATTATTTTGCGAATCATTTATTTTTCAGTCCTCACCAGTAACAACAATGAAGAGGTCTCCAAGATATATGATGTGGACTACAAATGCAAGAACGCCAAGAAACTACTAGCTAAAGTTTGTCCAGACCCTTGCGCCTGGGAGCTAACCCGAGACGTGTGAAGCGATATAAGCTCGATTCAGGAATTTAAACACACTTTGCTACCCTGTGCCTTTGTTCAGTGTTTCAGTTTATCATAATAATCAATATTGCGGTGTGGCGGTGTGTACGAGCCGGGATCCCCTTCAAGTTACGTTTCATTTGAAACCCCTACTATGTATTTAACTTTTCAAGGTGTTTTTCTTATATAGCTAATTACGTTTTGTTAAATAAAATATCTTACCTGAAAAAGACTGAACTTTTCTGCCTCCTTTACCTTATCGTTGGTGAAAGTAACAAAATGTGAGGTACCTGTGCGTAACTTTGTACCACACGCATCAATGGTGAATCTGCATGCTTTCTCGAAATTGTTCTTCAATAATAAAATTTCTTCTGAACTACCTCTTCTTTACCCACCGCGGCGTGGATTATTAAAACGCAAAATGTGACGCATGCTGTCCCACTCGGATCTACGCATTTTATCCGGTCAATCCACTGCCATCGTAAAGGCACTCACGTTTTTTTTCTCACAGCACTCATGGAATCAAGTCTATACTTTAGATTATAAAAAAATTAGTGGTTCACGAGCAAAGAGTGTTTAGACTTCGAAATTCGCCACTTTCCATAAAGTGTCACTTCTCAATTGTCTAGCAACTATGATCATGTCGGATAAACTTTCTGAAACGTACTTATTAACTGAAAAGGGAGAACACTAGGGTTCCCGATCAGTGGAAAAAACAGGCAACTCTCTGCCACCCATAAATTATAACGTTTTAGACCTCGAACTTCAATCTCTACTGTAAAACAGTAGGCAATAAATATGATAGTTTCATAACAGCGCTGCCAGGATCGAGGTGAACCAAAAGCAAAACAACGATAGTTTTCTCGGATGATCGAAATTGTTTAACACTCCTTAGTGTTAGTTTTTCTTTATTGAATTTTTTTATCAAAGATAACAGATCATACATTTTGAAGGTGATGGAATGAAAGATTTTTCTGCCTGTCGGCCTGTCGGCGGCAATGAATGATCCCAAATAGCACGCCAGAGAAATGCCCAACTTGGGCAAAGGTCTGGCAAACGCAAGGGCCCAACCTTGGCCCAGTTAGGTTTCGCGCCATGGCGTTCATCGGTGCCTAAATACGCTGCCTAACTATAGCCCAAGTTGGGCTATACTAGGGCATGCCAAAGTTTGGCTTCTCTCTGGTCCGGCAGAGGGGTGCCGAATTAGTGCCATACTTCATCCATAACTGCCAGAGCAACGCCTAATTTGGGCATTTCGGACATGCCAAAGTTTGACTTTTCTCTGGTCCGCCACAGGTGTACCGAAGTAGTGCCATACTTGAGCCATAACTGCCAGAGCAGCGCCTCATTTCGGTGTTTCGGAGATGCCAAAGTTTGGCTTTTCTCTGGCCCGCCACAGGAGTGCCGAAGTACTGCCATACTTGATCCCTCACTGCCAGAACAACGCCTAATTTGAGTATTTCGGACATGGCAAAGTTTCGCTTTTCTCTGGCCCGCCACAGGAGTGCCGAAGTAAGTGCCATAATGGAGCCATAACTGCCAAAGCAACGCCTAATTTGGGTGTTTCGGACATGCAAAAGCTTGGCTTTTCTCTGGTCCGCCACAAGAATGCTGAAGTAAGTGCCATACTGGAGCCATAACTGCCAAAGCAACGCCAAATTTGGGTATTTCGAATAAGCCGAAGTTCGGCTTCTCTCGGGTCCGCCACAGTTGTGCCAAAGTGAGTGCCAAACTTCAGCCACAACTGCCGAGGTAAATCCTGATTTGGGAATTCGGGGCATGCCGAAGTTTGGCTCTTCTCTGGCTAGCCACAGGAGTGCCAAAGACGCGCCAAAAGTGCCAAAGAAAGCCCAGAGGCCTGCCGAAGTTTGGAATTTTTCTGGTGCGCCACAGAAGCGTTCTTTCACACGCTCCAGAAGAAAATTTAAATTAAATAGGCGTTGGAAACACGATGGTTAGATCTCATCATCTGCGTTCCCACGCAGCACGGCGATACTTGACGGTATAGTGCCAGTACCGGCTGAAAGTCGGTTCCAATAGCGCTCGAATGTCTAATTTTGCACCACCGTTCAAAATCCGGCAGGTGTTGCCGTACAGTCGTTTTGCCATGGTCATGGTTTACTGTTACCGTTTCTGAGCTCTCAGTTTATTTTATAGTTTGCGATTTGGCCTCGTGGATTAACCTTTTCGTCCAAAAAAGAAAATAGTTCCCTTTAGACGCCTGTTATGGAATCAACGATCAAATAGACAAAAACCCCATTTGAACCTGTAGTTTCCGGTGAGCTGCGCTGCTTTTGCTGCGGGGTCAGAGAACTCCACATTAATCACGTGGACATGTGGAGTTTTCAGGTTTCAGATTTTTCTGTTAGGAACATTACTTGGTGTGTATATATATAGAGAGAGAGCAGACGAATGCAGTGTCTCATAGGTGTACATTAACAAGAAGAGGTAAGAGCTGCATATTTACTACGCAACTAAGCGCGTATAAAATGTTTGTTTGAAATATTCGATTAGCTCTTTAAACTATGGAAAAAAGATTGATAGGGCATATCAGACCGAATGTTGTGTATCGTCTTGACGATCCTATGAAGGACTTACTAAAGTGCAAATGATCAAGCTGTGTAATAAGTTATGATAATGCCTTAGGGAGCTTGCTTGCCGTTCGGTAGAACTGTAAACGAACATGCAGTTACCTCAAAACTTTCTTACGTGTCATGTCAGTGGTTGCAACATAGCATATAGACTTCGGCAATGGCGGCTCTGCCTTCTGATAATATATCGTTTTCAAAGACGCAGAATTGGAGCAAATATATAATGCAGCTTTTTTTTTATAACTATAGCCAAAATCACTGTACGCTAGTAGGGATATATATACAGGGTGTTTTTTTTTTAAGCTTAACATATTTGTTTAAAAAAAAGCCGTGAGAGTTACACTTATGCCGCTTGTGGAGGTGAGTTATACGGCCAGAGGGGCATATTATAGGCGGCTAAACAATAACGATCACTAGTCTAATTAATTAAAATTTGTCAATTAACTTTTTATGTAATGAAAATAGACATATGGTTCCAATTAGAAACTTGCTCAGCGTCATCGAAACCCACTAAATCAGTCAATTTCAGAAAGACGTTTTGCGCATGAAAAGCGTAGTGTTGTACTAAAGTTACCACTCGTGGAGCAGGTACAAGGATGGGGCTAGATAAGAGATGAAAAAATCGCACCTCCTCCTCGGGGAGGAAGTGGCCGAGTGTGTCATCCGGTGTTGTAATAGGCGCAGGTGTTTATGGGTACATGAAAGAAGTTTTATGGTCTTTCCACATGTTGAAAATCCGTTTTTCTATGGAATATTTGGCTACAGTTTCAAGGAAAAAATTGTATAAAGATTTAGTCGATATTTTGTTTCCTATACCATTGTATAGATCATTATACTGTGTCGGCGGTGGTTTAGACGTACTAAAAAGAGTGAAAAGAATGCCGGTCAGGCCATGTGTTAAAACCTTTTTCTTTTAATTACATTGTGGCGTTCTTCCGGTGAAAACTTGGCTGGAGGAAAAGGGTTTATTTGTCCCCTGGTCCACTAATTGTTTATTGTGTAAAAAAGCCGAAACCGTCGAACACGTGTTTATCGAATGTTGGGACGCTGTGTTCCACTGGGACATCCTCCAGCGCACCCTCAAAAAAGATTTACCTATCAACCCACGCGGTATTCGTTATCTGGCTGTGAAAAATGAAGATGAAATTCCGTATGATATGATTATGTTATTGAGTCTCCACAGTATGTGGAAGACGAGAATGAGTTTACGACACGCAGACGTGAATGTTCGCACTGTGCGTGAAAACTTTATTGAAAACATTGTCTATGTAAGAGAAGTTTATCGCGCCCTCGCCGAGCCTCTAGACTGGTTACCACTGTTGGATCAGTTGGCCAGTTTTAAACGCTTTTAACCGCCACGGCCTTCGTACGGCTGAAGTGCTTTAGCCTTTCCCTTTTGTGTGTATTGTAAAAAAATCTGTCTAAGCAGGCAATAAAGAAAAAAAAAAAAAAAAAAAAAAGAGGAAGTGGCCGAGTGGGCTAACGCGTCTCAGCTCGGAGCGTGGAGCGAAAGCGAAAGCTTGCGCTGGGAACCTCCTGAGTTCGATCCCCGCCGCCCCCGCCCGTTTCGATCTGGAAGCGTTTCGTACCGGCACGCGTTCGAGTGATCACTACTGCGTGATGCACTGGCCAAATTTCTCAACTACAGCTAAGAGACCGATTACCCGTTGAGGCGCATCTCCATCAAGGCTGTATAAACATAAAGAGCAAACCAATTTTTTTTTTGCGGGGCCGCCTTATCGCAACCTCTAGCTTTGTACCTGCTCCACGAGTGGTAACTTTATTGCACTACTACGCTTGTCACGCGCTCAAAGTCTTTCTGAAAATGACTGATTTAGTGGTTTTTCGATGACGCTGAGCAAGTTTCTAATTGGAACTATATGTCTATTTCCATTACCTAAAAAGTTAATTAACAAATCTTAGGTGATTAGTCGACTTATTGTTACGATTAGCCCTCTATAATATGTCCCCATGGCCGTATAACTCACCTCCACAAGCGGCATAGTTGTAGCTTTCACGGCTTTTTTTTTTTAAACAAATCTGTTAAGCTTAAAAAAAAATACCCTGTATATAATATTCGGTCCTGAAGAAGACAGTTCCGCAATCGAAACATTAACAAAAATTAATTACCCCTTTCCTTTTTTATTTTTAATTCTTCATTCTATTTTTCACTTAACAATTTATTTTGGTAACTTATTGTGCTTAACTTTGACTTTTATTCCGTCCTTTTTAAAGATAATTCTCCGCGCGGATGATTAGATCAATATCGCTTATTGCATTATCGCGGTAACTTTGGCGCGCTCCCGAGTTTCCCACGAGCTTCAAGTCATTCTGAAAAGAGTTGATTTAATGGTTTACGATCACGCTCAGTAAGTTTATAATTGAAATTGTATGTCTATTTTCGCAAATTAAAAAGTTAATTAACA